CTTCCAGATTTCCAACTCATTGGGAACAAAAGGAAGGCCTTGGGGAAAAAGATGTTAAATCCCAAAAATGCTTAAGTCATAATCACTAAAAACACAAGGAGGAGGACTGCTGAGGCTAACTCAAGATCACTGTCCTCTTCAGAGCTGACAAACCGAAACCTGTCAAGAACTCAGGCCAAAAACAAGCCAGAACGGGGCATTAACACAAACACCACATGCCTCCTTCCCTGCCCCCCGGCTTCGTCTCCTCCAACCCAACAGGAATAACAATGGCTGGTGGCATTACTCCTTGGTCCTCACAAGCACCATGGCAGGTAGGTACTTCATTATCCCCATTTTACAAGTGAGGAAACCAAGGCACTGAGAGGTTAAGGGTCTCGACCAGGGTCACAGAGCTAGTAAGTATCAGGGGCCACATTTGAACCGAGGGCTTCCTGCTGCTAGATCCAAGGCTCTACCATTGTATAGCAACCACCAACTGCCGCAGAAGAGTAAGAATCCTCTCCTGTAAGACAGAAGGCATATTTGCTCATTTATTATTGGGTCAAATGAGGTGTTCGTACAGCACTTGGCATGGCACGTAGTCGGTGCTTAATCAATACTGGTTCCCCTCCCCTCATTATAGTAAATAACACTGCATTTTTTGGTTGGAGCTGAAGAGAAAAAGGCCAAAAAAAGATCAAGAACTCGCCCCTGCAGACAGGCCAGGATCCATGTCCTGGGCAGACACCCCGGGGGAGCTCCCGCTGGAGGGAGGGTCGCAGGCCAGCCCAGCCGCCACCTGTCAGTGGGACCAATGCTTCTCCCCAACACACCCCCAGGGCTCCTGCCTCCATTCACCTTGGTGAACCTCTGAACTCCCAACAGGGGGAAGTTTGTGCTCCCTAAGGCACTCGTTTCCTCACAGGAGACTTGCGCGGTAGATAGTCAAGCTCTCTCCGGGTTCTCCCATCCAGGACCACACCTGCCACAAGGAAGACCTCAGTTCAAATCTGGCCCCTGATACTTATTAGCTCTGTGACCCTGGTCGAGACCCTTAACCTCTCAGTGCCTCAGTTACCTCTCTTGTAAAATGGGGAAAATGAAGTACCCACCTCCCATAGTGACTGTGAGGACCAAGGGAGTTAACATATGTGAGGCACTGAGGTCCTGCCTCATTGCAGGCTGACCTGGCCTTCTCTAAGAATGCTGGCAGGATCCGCAGAGGCTGAGCTGGGAGGCTCTGCGTGTGCCTCCAGGCCCAAGGCCAGTGAGACAGAAACGACTGTGGGTCAGCCTCAGGGCCCTCAGCACAGGAGGCAAAAAAGGAATGGGCTCAGAGCTGGGAGGAGGAAACAGGAAGCTGTCCAGAGTCATGCCTCGCCTTCCCGCCTTCCAGAAACAAAGGCGCCCATTCTCTTAACACCCACATCCCTCTATTAACACTGCACCGGGAGTCCCGGCTCGCATGCCAAGGGGCAATGGAGAGGTGCAGGATGCCCAGGAGTTGGTTAAAGAGTACAAAGGAGGGGACAGTCTGACCACCACAGATGTGCTAGAGATGCAACTGGAGGGAGGGACCCATCCATGGACAACCTGTAGGCTTCACTCAGGCCCGGGCAATGCCAAAGGATTTAGGGCAAGACCCCCAACACAAACAGAACAGTCAGTCAGCCAGCAAGCACTGATCCAGTCCTTCCTCTGTGCCAGGCACCATGCTAAGTGACGGAGACACAAACGTCAGCAAATTCCAGCCTGCCCTCTGGGAGCTTATACTCTGCCAGAGGGAGAGAGCAAGCACATCAATGGGGAGCTGAAGGAAGACAGTGCACAGCACGGCGGCACCGTCCAGAGAATCAGCGGCGGCTGCTCTGGGCACAACTCATCGAGGGGAAAGGAGCCCGGGAGCCACGTGAGGATGACCTTCGCTCAAATCGACGCTATTCAAAGCTATGATTCTACGTACAAGTATGACCATTTGTTCCAGTACAACAGAAAAAGGCCATGAAAATTTTAACAATGGTTTGTTTATTAATGTAATACCACAGCAAAGGATAAGAAAACTGTTTCTGTTCAAATTTGTCACAAAGTAACAAAGCAGCTACAGAAAGCAACATTTTCAAAGTTTAAAAATTATCTTAAGCTGCCAAACACTGTACCCCGACATAAGCCTTCACTGATGTGATGAAAATGTCACTATTTTTGTTTAAAGCATGTTAGCAGCCTAGACTGAACTGCCTTCCCTTTCTTTAAGCCTTCGTGCATATGCTGGTAGGTACAGAGAGCTTGACCCACGCCTGGAGCCTTGGACCCATGCATTCTCCCTGACGTCAGGGTCGCCATCCACAACACGTGGCCTCACCACTCCTCCCATTAGGAAGCTAGCCTCAGATTGTCCCCAGAGGGCCAACGTCTCCGTCTGCACACCTTTGGAGCCTTCCAGAACCTGCTGCTGATCCAAACGAAGGAGATCATCAGCAGGTCATTCTCACTCCCAGGCCGCCCTTTTCTAGTTGTTCCAAGCCAAGCTGTCTTCCCAGGTTTGTCATTTCTCCTATCACAGTCTGCTTTTCCAAGGGAAAACCTGCCCAGCGAGACATGCTTCCACATGGCAGCGGCTGTCTCTCCATTCCTCCAGCTGATTCTGCTTTTTAAAGGAACAGAAGTGACCAACACCTGTGGTAAAAGGGTCTTCACCATCACCTCATGCCCTTTCCTTTCAGTGTCTGACGTACACTGGAGCTTTGATCCGAAAGGCTGTGCGTGCCACGGCGGTCTCGGATCGCCACAGCTAAGACGCCCGCCCAAGCCGTCCCTGTGACGCACCTCCTCCTTCTCGTGGCCACCAGGCTGCTGAGACGTAGCCTTTCTTTTGGATTCCTCTTGCCTCTCTGCCCATGTTCCACGTCACCCATCAGGCATTCCAACAGTGACGTGGACTTCTGTAATAGGAACCATAAAATTCCTTTTAGTTATGATGACCACGTTCATGCTGTTCAATCACATCACGTTTTTGTTCTAATGTAGTAATGAGCTTCTTTTTTGTTCTTGCGCTGGCTATGTCTGCATCTGAAGCCTTCTTCCTTCGGTCCGTTTGGCTAAAGGCTCTTTTAAAAATAACACAACGGTTGGCAATCACTCCCAGGCAAGTATGACCCACCCTCAGATTCTGTGACCGGAGTCAGAAAGGGTTAGACTCTAATAGAACTAGGGCCACCACCGAGTCCCTGAAGAGCTGTAAGAATCCCTCCACTGCAGAGCAACATGGAAAACCTCTTCTCCACCCCATCTTTGATCTACTGCATTCTGATTTGTTTGGTGTCACATTCCCCCATGACACTTTCACCTGGTCCTGGCAGCCCTAAGAAAGAGAAGGCAGGAAGCACTGCAGACAGAGGAGGCGCTTCTCCAGTGTTCAGGAAGAAGGTTTCCCTGCCTATGTTCTACTGGCAATGATGTAATGACGATGTAATGATGACGATGATGCAGCATTTATGTCAATACGACAAACACATAAAGAAAGGCAAAATAACTCCTTGGGGGGAGGTGGGAGAACATGAACTGGTAAAGAAGGTGCAAAGGTGTCAAGGCATCCCTCAAGCTGAGGAGGGGGCACAGGGATGGCACATATTGATAGCTCATGTTTCTATAGCCCTTATGTGCCAGTCCCTAGGCTAAGCATTTTACAATCATGATCTCATTTGACCCTCACAACAACCCCACCTGGGAGGTACGATTGTAATCTCCATGGTCAGATGAGGAAACTGAGTCAGACCAGAGTGGAAGTGACTAGTAGCAAGTGTCTGAGGCTGGACTCAAACTTAGGTCTGCGTGCCACCCATTAGCTCCCTAGACGATACAGCCTGCACCGCAAAGGGCCTCAGGTGAGGCAGTGAGGGGAAGAGAGTGGAAGCAAGACAAGCCCCCTCCCAGTCCAGGTGGGCAGACCTACAAGGCCTACATGGAAGGCCTCACAGGGCCAAAGACAGCCAAGTATCCAGGGCCCCGGTCACCCACTCGACATGATCCATGAGGCAGAGCGAGGCACCCAGTGACCGAGAGGGGCCAGGTCAGCGGAGCAAAGCTAAAGAAGGGCGGGTACACGAAGCTCCTGGAGTGGCTTGGTCAGAACCGCCGGGCTGGCCGTGGAGAGGCCAGCGGCCTCCAGCTAATCCAGGCAGCAGCGCCCAGACTGGACTGCGGCCCCTTCAGCTGCCTCCCCACGCGGTCCCTTTGAATCTGTCGGGCTCTGGGGATAAAGGCCTGCCCCTGCCCCTCCTCCCTGGAGGCCCAGGACCTCCTCCCGACAAGCTAGGTTTCCATAAGGCTGCCCCTGGGGACAGGCAGGGCAGCCCGGGCCCCTTCTTCCAGGGAATGCTGCACCTGGGCATCTGCAAAGTGGGGGGGCAGGAGACACGTGGGGGTGCTTCCACGTCTAGGGTCCGCAGAGAGCTCCGGGGCACCAGGGAAGGGGAAGGGGCCCAGGGCCGCTTGGTTATGATCGGGAGATCCTCAGACAAGCCGCCAGCCAGCCGTGCCTGCTGGTCTCTTCTGACAGAAATGAAACTGAGGCAGGGGGAAGAGAAGCGGTCAGCGCCTTGCCTAGGGCACCCCCCTCCTCCCCGCTAGGTAGCGTCTGAAGCTGGACTGGAACTCGGGATACGAGAATGAGTCCACAGGGCCTGCCGGGTAGGGGCGCTCCCACGGCAAGGGAGTGCTTCCAGGGTAAGGGGGCGCTCCCGCGCTCCGGGGATGCCCAGGGATGTGGAGGGCGTGCGGGGAAGCCCTCGAGCCCACTGTGGACCCACTGTGTGCACGGCACACGTGCCCTTTCAAGCCCAGAGCGCGCACAAAGCGAGCTGACCCGAGCTTAGAGGGGCCTGGGAGGGGGGGGACGACTCCGGGCCCCAGGCGAGGCACTGCCCCCGACTGCCTCAGTGTCCCCAACGGTAAAGTGGGGAGCAAGAGTCCCTCTTCGTCGGCCCCCGCCCGCCCCGCCCCGCCCTCTCCCCGCCCCCCACCTTGCTGTGGCTGGCCGGCAGCCAGGCGGTGAGCTCGTCCACGACCCGGCTCAGCGCGGCCTCGTCCAGCTCCGGCTCCGGCCCCGCGGCCCCCGCTCCGGGCCCGGGCGCCCGCAGCCGCAGCAGCAACTCGTGGCCCATCAGGAGCCGGCCGCTCGCGTCCCGCGCACGCAGCAGCTGCGCGCACAGCTCCGACAAGCTCCGGCCCCCCGGCTCCCCGCTCCCGCCGCCGTCCTCGGGGGCCTCCATGGCGGCCCGGAGGCGAGCACGGCCGCGGCCCGGTTCCGCTTCCGGCTCCGCTTCCGCTTCCGGGCGCACCCGGAACGGTGCCGGGACGGCCCGAGAGCCCAAACACTCAAAAGGGGCGCCCCGGCCCGGCGCGAGACACGCGACTGCGCCACCACGCCCCGTGACGTCAGCGCGACGTTCCCCCCCCCGCGGCCCGCGCAGGCGTGCAGACCGCCCCGCCCCCGAATGGCGGGACTCCGCCCCAGACCCGCGCAGGCGCACAGCGGCCCTTCGGGACCCGCCCTCTAAAGGCGGTGCTTCCAGCTTCCCCCACTTTCCCCGTCCCAGACCCGCTGGGGCTCGTCCTGCTATCTGACTGCAGTTTTGGAGCCGATTTCTTGGGCCTGTAGGACCCCCTCCCCTCCCCCACTACAGAGAAGCCAAGGAGGCCAGCCCCGCCACCTGACAGAAGGGCCGACTGTGTTCTCTGATTCCCCCCAAACAGCCATCCTCTTTTTTCAGCGGAAGAAACTCTAGAAAGGGTCTGGGGCTACATTGAAATCCAGGTCTACCCGACTCCAGGAGAGGGGGTACCCTCCACCCAAAAGACCCAAGCCCCAGGTGAAGGAGGATTGGGGAGTCCTGCCCCCCACTGGCCAGGCCATGACCTTGTTGAGGTCTAAGGGTGCCGGGAACCCCAAAATTCAAGGGCAAAAGCAGAACCTGCCTAGAATTCCACCCAAGCCTTCTTTGAGCCTGAGACGAGGTTTATTAAAGCACCAGTTGGGGGTGGGTGAGATTTTAAGAATCTGAGCATTTGTGACCCTTGTGTTGACAAGACAGCCAGACCCAAAAGACTTGGGGGAGATCTGGAGGTGATCTAGGAGTGGCCAAGTGGTCTGGGGTGACCGGAAGGTAACAGGAGGACCTGGCCACTGCCAGGGACCTGGGCCACGTGGGAAAGTCCAGGGGCTTTTCCTTTTGAGGGTCTAGATCCCATCCCCATCAGAGGGACCCTCCTCATCTGTGTGGCCCTCAGGGACAAGGTCCCCCACCTTGTCCAGAATGCAACACAAGCCTCCAACTGGGCCTCGCAGCAGCCCCCTTGGTCACCCTGTTCCCAGGCAGCCCCCTAGAAGGTCCCCCAGCAGAAGTTGGGAGACCTCAAACCCAGGAGCAGGAGACTTGACATTGATGCCCAAGCAGAAACTGACGGAAACTGATGAAGTTTCCCTCCCCCTTCTGGGCTAAGTCAAATGATTCCCCACACACACTGTGCCGACATTACTCCCCTTCCACCCCCTCCTGGTCAGAAACTGGAAGAAGGATCCCAGCTGACTGGTTTTTTTCTTTTAGGGAAGTGTTCCCCAAAACACAAGTCATTTAGGAAAAAAGTCCCAGTTTTCAATCCATTCAATGAAGTGCCTATTGCACTAAAGAAGTGCTGGGGATGATCTAGATGATGAGATCTAGACTCTAAAAAGGAAAAACCCAAATCTCTGTCATTCCCCTGAGGCTCTAATCCCATCAACTGGCCTTTCATTATGGCTATGCCCAATCTCCCAATTCTCTGTTACCCTTAGTGTCTTACCTCCCCATAGCCACTTCCCACCCTTAATCCTAGCTAGGCTCCATCCTCCCTCATCTTCTTGGTCCAGGTCCCTGGTGTTCTACTATCTCACAGTCCCTTCAGACTGCTTGGCCGCTCCTAGATCCCTCCCACAGTCTTTCTGTATATAAGATCCTTCTTGTCTCTATTAAGGTGCTCAGATTTTCACAATCTAGCCAATAGCTCACAGGTGCTCAGATTCCTTAAGAGTCTGGCTAATATGGCAGATCACTAATAAACTTTGTCTTTGGCTGAAAGAAGGCTTAGGTTGAACTCTTTCGGACAGGACCCATGTGTTATGATTTTGGGGTTCCAGCACCCCTTAACACCTAAACCTCAACAGGGGTACAAAGGATCCTTGCCCTCCAGGAGCTCACAATCTAATGCGGGGAGGGGACAACTTGCCAACACAGATGTACAAAGGAAGATGGACATGTAGAAGTTTGGGAAGGCTTCCTGAGAAGCCAGGAAGCTGGTGGTCAGAGATGAGGGGGGAGAGCATTCCAGGCCTGGGGAATGGCCAGAGACATGGACATGTCTGGGAGGTCTGGATCCAGGGAATGAGGCAAAAGAACCCTGGAAAGCAAGGAGGGGGCGGCGTCATGAAGGGATCTGAAACTGATAAACAACCTGGCAGAAAATGGGCTCAGACCAACACACCTCATACCATGTTCCATGATGGATTCTGAATGGACCTATGATCTCAGGGTTAACAATTAGACTGCTGAATGAATTGGAAGACAAATAGATCCCATACCTCTCACAGCTTGGAGGAGGAGATTCATTCCTAACCAAACAAGGGACCCTAGAGATAGAAGAGATAAAATGGATAACTTTGATTACATGACACTGAAAAGCTTCTGCACAGACAACATTCATGTACATAGGAGAAAAGGGGAAGTGGTGGAATGGGGGAAATATCTTTGTATCAAATTCCTTCCATAAGGATTGGGTGTGGCTGTGCTGGTGTTTCACAACTGGCTCTCTAGAAAGAGAAAAAAGGACATGTGACATACTTTTAAGCTTAATCTGCATTATTAAGATTTTCTCCATCATTTTAAGTCTAGACAATCCAAAAGGCAATAAATTAAGCTCTGATTTGTAGCATTTGCCAATTTTTAAAAGTGTTCATGCTCACCATTGTTGGGACTAAATTCAATAAAGGTAAACTGAGATACTACTGAAAGCCAAATCAGTTTATTAACAGTGTCACATATAATTTAACAAAGCAGGTCAGACTTGTCACCTCAGTAAGGTCAGTGACCCCAGTGAGAAGGGAGGGACCCACCCTTATTGACACACAAGAAAGAAGGGGGTCTTGGTAGTCATGGAATAGTACAATTGACTATACTAGGAAAAGTGGGCTGGCATTAGGATGAAACTAATCACAACCCTTTTCTGGCAATTAAGGAATGTTAATTGTTCTAAGGGACCCATCTGCCTCTTGTAATCTTTGCTAAGAGATCAGTACCACCAGACTCGCTGTCCTCTTGGAAGAGATCAAATCTCCCCCAAATGCCCAAGGACAGGTAAGGACAGAGGGCATAGCTTTTGGGGGATGGCACCAGGTTAAGCTTGTTGGGTCTTAATGACAAAAAAGTAGATATCCCAGGAGCTCAGAGGAGTGATAACAACTTTCCTTAAAAGCGACCATACAAAATGGGTCAGAAATACAGGATAGGATCAATTACAGAAGAGACTCCATGATTAAATGATACAGAATTAATTTAATTTCCTCCCAATTAACATGTAACAGTCTGCTCTCATGAGCCATTGAGCTGCCTCCAGCATACCCTGTGTAGACAGTTAACGTACAGAAGACTGAAAGCCATTCCCCAATTTAAAAAAAAAAAAGTGGTCTGCTAAGAGGAATGAACAGTTCTCAGAAGACTTGTAAACTGTTAACAACCATAAGAAAGGTTGCTCCAGACCACTAATAATAAGAGAAATGTACATCAAAGCAACCCCAAGGTTTCAACTCATATATCCTACAAACTGGTAAAGATGACAAGAGATGGCTATAGTCAATGTTAGGGGGTTGTAGGAAGATAGACATGCTAGTACATTGTTGGTGCAGCTGGGAATTGATACAGCCATTTTGGAAATCAATTTGTAATTATGGAAATAAAGTGATTAAAATGTTCATACCTTTAACCCAAAGATTCTGCTACTAGGTTTAAGCCACCAAGAAAGCCATTGATAAGAAGAAGGTCCCCCTATGCACCAAATTTTTATAGCAGAACTTTTTGTGGTAGCAAAAAATTAGAAACAAAGCAGATGCCCATTGATGAGGGAATGGCTAAAAAAATTGTAGCATATGAGTGTAATGGAATGGTTGTTTTCCTTCTCCCTCAAAGAGGACCAAAATGACATCACTATGTTGGAGTCAAGGTACAGTGTATCAGTCTGTGGCTGATCAGACCAATATGAGCTCAGAAGGCTCTGCCACAGGTTGGGCACAAATTATCCAAAATGGCATGCCAGAGAAGCCTGGGAGGATCTATGTGAACTGATGCAGAACCGAGAAAACAATCTGCACTGTGACTACAGCCATGTTCATGGAAAGAATAAGTACTCCCCAATCAAAAGTGAACGCTACAAAATTACAAAGAACAAACATGACCCCAGAGAGGAGACAGGAGAAGAAAGACATCCCCACCCGACTCCACCCCTCATCCCTCTGTAGAGATGGGAGGTCTATGGCTATGAGACATGGCCCATATTTTCAGGCTTCTTTTGAGAGTTGATCAATTTTGCTGGTTTCTTCTTTTTCCCTTAAAAATGTTATTTTTCATTTGGGGTGGCTCTCTGGGAGAGGGAGGGGGAAAGATATTGGGAGAAATTTTGCTGATATAAAAAACAAAAGATAGTCATTTTTTTAAGTGTGTAAAAGGTTAGGAGTAAAAGACTAAGAATGGAAATATCTCCTTCTAGTTAAGGTTATTGTCCATCTCCATGAAGAGATTGGGGCCTTTAATTACTTTACATAATGGAGATATTTCTTACTTTCAACTTTGATCAGCTGAAAAGGAGAACCTTGAAGACAATGTGCAAAGCTGAATTAGAAGGTTCTGTGGACAATGATTTTCAAAAGATGAGCCAAAAGTTGTGGAGCTCTCTCTGAGAGAATCAAACTCTTAGCTGCTCTGTTTATTCCCTAACCCGATCTTGGCTGTGGAATGGTCTTTGAACCCTATAAAATGTGAGATCAAATGGAGCTGGCGTCTCTTCATTTTCCCACAAGAATACTGTCAACTGCTTTATCTACAGCTTTGTGAAAGTCATCTGGGTAATGCGTGCCTGCAGTGTTCCGACGCACCAGTTTAGCTACCCTGCCAAAAAAGACGCTCTGGTGGCCATTTTGTTCATCTGACCTGTTCTTGGCAAAGCCACTCTGGCTCTCCACAATCCCTGCTTCCTTGTCTCGATATTCATCAACATCTCTTTAATGAAGTCCTAGACTTTTGCCAAGAACAGAAATTGAGCTCCCTGGCCCAGAGTTTTCCAACCGGCCCCCTTCTCTTCTGTTTCTGGAAGATTGGGACATTTACCCTCTCTCTTCCTACA